ACTATTGAATAAATTTGAAGCTGATTACAAAACACTGTAGTTATACATACATAATATTCTAGTCAGTTCAACTTCCTCCATGAAGCTCAGCTATAAATAGATTTTGCTAGTGTTAGCAAAGCTCATCACTCCTTAATTTGTCTGCAAACTTCCACATACATCCATGCACTTCACACACATACACGCACGCACACTCACGCACATTCACTCACACTCCGATCTTTGAAGCAGTTTCAATTAATTTTCTTGCTGCCGCTTATCCACTATTATAATACATGTAATTTATAAGCAGCATTTTAAGTATTGGCAAAAACATAAAAAAATAATGTGGTTATCGTGTTCCTGGCGTAAGTACTGCCTCGGACATTTGACTAGCATGTGTTGTAGAATGTCGCCGCCGAATGGACCAGAGTCTGAACACTATTTTCGTATTTCACGAAATGTCGAGGGCCCATAGTCGGGAGGCGACAAAGGCAGTAGGGTATCCCTAACACCAGTCAACATTTTCCCCATTTTCTTCAGACTACGATGAAATTTTATCTCCACTAGTGCCAGAGGAAGGCAGGAGACATCGTTCAGCCCACTTGTTCGTCTTCCTCAGAGGGGGAATGGTCTCCTATTGATTTCCTCGTCCTCTTCCTCCTCCTCAATGGAGGATGGCGTAGCCTCAATATCGGATCCGGGGAAGCTCTTAATGCCCGTCAGCTCGGCGAGGATCTCGTCCAGGCTTTTGCCCTTGGTCTCCGGCACCAGGAGGGCGATGAAAAGCGTGCCGAGAGCCGCGATGCCAGAGAAGACGAAGAACGCTCCACTCTGGTTTACTACGGACACCAGGTTCTGAAGGGGGAAGACAGCAAAATCAAACACCGCGCCAATACTCGAAGAGGAAAAGAATACTGAACGCAACCATACTTACCAAGAAGAACTTGGTGACGAGGAAGGCCATGAACCAGTTGGCGCCACAGGCGACTGAGGACGCCGCGCCCTTGATGCTGGGGGAGAAGATCTCGCTGACGACGCACCAGGGCAGTGGCCCGAGGCCGAGCGAGAACATGACGATGAACACGGCCACGGTCGCCAGGGGCAGCCACGTGATACCGTCCATGTCGTGGCCCGCCTCGCTGAGGTGGAAGTACACGCCCAGCATGGACAAGCAGATGGTCATGACGCCGCTGGAGAGCAGCAGCAGCACCCGGCGCCCGGCAGAGTCGGCCAGCAGCATGGACACGAACGTGGACGCCACCTGGACGATGCCGACGACGATGGAGCACTCCGCCTCGCTCATGGAGGACCCGGAGCTCTGGAAGATCTTGGCGGTGTAGAAGATGACGGCGTTGATGCCGGAGAGCTGCTGGGCGGCCATCAGACCCAGGGCGACGATCATGCCCCGGGCGCCTGCACGCGTGGCGAACAAGTCCTTGACGGAGGCCTTGCTCTGCTCGGCCGTCTGGGGGACGAAACAAAATACGTGAGTAAAGCGATGTCGCGCATGCTCACGAAAATGCAGGGAAAACATTTCCACGGACGCTAACCAGGATAGAGTGCCTGATCGTGGCAATCTCGTCGCTGACGTCGTAGTCGGGGCCTCGCAGCCAGTGCAGGGAGTCGCGGGCGGCCTTGGACTGGCCGCGGGTCAGCAGGAACACGGGGGACTCGGGCATGCGCCAGAAGAGCGCGGCGAAGAGCACGGGCAGGGCCATGCAGACGTAGGCGAGGTGCGCGGGGTCGTTGAGCAGGCCGGCGACGAAGCCGAGCAGGATGCCGACGGTGATCTGCAGCTGGAAGAAGGAGCCCAGGGTGCCGCGCACCGAGGGCTCGGCCACCTCCGACACGTAGATGCCCGCCGACACGGACACCACGCCGACGGCCAGGCCCGCCAGCGTGCGGCCCAGCAGGAGGCAGGCCACCGAGGAGCTCACGGAGAGCATGCCCCACGCCACCAGCATGGGCAGGGCCATGAGCAGCAGCGTGCGCTGCCGTCCGAGCCGGTCAGCCGCCATACCCGCCACCATGCAGCCTGGGGAGGAGCGTTTATTGCGTTAGTCCCTCGGTCAGCCCAGTGGCCTGCAGGACGCAGGACGTCCCAAACGGGCACACCCCGTCCACCGCCGTCCACTTACCGGCGAAGGCGCCGAGCGGGAGAGCGGATCCGATCCAGGAGAAGGTCTCATCCGCGATCGGCAGCTTCCCGACGGCGGAGGTCCATGAGAAAAAGGTACCCGCGCACAGAGCTCCGAGGGTGGCTGGGTGGGCAAGGAAGTTTAGCTAAATGTTGAGGTATTTCCACTACAAGGTAGATACGCCAGACCACGTCTGGCGTAACAGGCTTCGCGATATCTCACGAAACACTGT